CGATCCCAATACGAAGTTCGCGAACATCAGGGATATCCATCGGGCTCAAATCGAAGCGGGTGAAAAGGAGGTTATCACGGCTGAATCCAGCGACTCTGAATGCCCTAGTGAGGCTGGCAGCTGTATTGTAGTGGGTGTGGTTGAGGATCAATAGTTAATAGTAATGAGGAGGTTGGGTTGTGATCCCATCGTTTTTGTGGTGCCAGAAACAGGGGGGTGCCAGGAAGTGGGTATGTTGACTTACAAGAAAAAGTCGCCGGAGGAAGGACATCGGGGAAAAGCTGAGGATACCCTTCCCGAGAGTCCGATCGCTTCGGAAGCGGCACGGTGAGAGTAGCCGGAGCTTGACATGTCGCGGCGAGTCAACGCTGCAGTTGCATGAGACTTCTGTCAGCTGATGTGCACTACACACATCTCCGAGGTTGTGCATTGCTCTTTCTTTATTTTTGAGAAAAATTGATTGACGGGAAGCGAGGTCTTTGGATGGACGGCGTTGACCGAAGTGTCGGGTTTCTCTTGGGGAGTTTTTGTGGATCGTCTGATGTTTCTGTCCCATATTTCCCTCGCGTTCGTCTTGTTTTATGTCGATCTCGGACTTGAGGCCGGTTGCGTGATCGACGTCTGAACCGTCTCTTTTGGTATTCTGGGTCGAGTTTCAAGGTTGGATTACATACAAGGAGCCGGCGAGATGGACAGTACATGAATTGTATCTAGCCTATCGGGAAATGGTGATCTCAAGTGACTTGGTCTGATTGATTCCAGTGTCTCTAAGATTACGAAAGGTGCGCTCAGTCCCTCAATTGATGGACCAGGTACCTCTCGGTTGCATGTTCTTTTCACCTCAGGCTAAGTTGTAAACAAAGACGTTGGTCTATTGACAATGTGAACAGCAAGATTTAGAGTTTGCCCTGCTTTCGGATGACTCCCTGTAGTTGAATGCCTCGAGTCAACACACCTAGTTTCAGTCAAAGACGGCGAGTCAGCAGTCATCACCACCATCTCGGTCTGTAAGTGAATACAATATGACACGAACATGCATAAATACAAAGACATCAGCTCTTGCACAAGATAGAATAACTGCAATCTACTCTTCGTTATAATCTATCAATTGCTGGCATTTGAACATATTAATCCTACTTCAATACTACAGACCGCCATCATGCGTTTCTCAGCTCTAGCCCTCCTTCCATTCTTAGCCACAGCTGTCATTGCTCAACAAAAGGGAGATAAGGGTAGGTTCATAATCCATCACTTCTAAATCTCAATGACCCAACAAAGGCCAAGAAAGCTGTACTGACCTAGAGTTATCTAGGTGAATGTCGGAATGACGCCGACTGTATCAGATGCGTAAACGGCGTCACGCCACTCATTTGCAAAAGTAGGCACTACTGCCCCCTTCCGCCAGCCTGACCGGATGGTCTTGAGTTGCTGATGGTTGAAATATCTTGCTAACGCTCTATCGGTCTAGCTGATGCCACCTCAACAACTGGAAAGCGGTGCGGTGTTACGGGCGGGCCTTGTCGTCCTATCAACAAGAGGAGGTGGCAGGAGCGTATGATTTGAAAGAGATTGATTTACGGTACCCAAAGGCGTTGTTATTTGTATCCATGCGTAGAAATGCGGAGCCAGTGTGCCACTTGTATAGCTTGCCTCCTTCCTCAACAGGAATGGAGCAGCACTTGTTCAGCTAGCCTAATGGCATGGCGGGAGGTAACCGTCCTTGGGAATGAGTTTTGCTACCACAATAGTTCGAAGGCTGAAGGCCAACTCCCCGAGTTGCTCCTCGCGTTACCTGATGACCTTTCATTATTTCATTCGCGCGGACGTATAATTTCCCCGGGCTATGCCTAGATGTTGTAGAGATTTCGTCTATGCGTAATGAAGAATTATTCGAGGTATCTCTTTCTACCGCGGTTGATATGTTTACGACAGAAGTTTCTTGAGAAGCTCAACTTGACAGCAATCAGCCCCTCTTGTAGGCGTTATCACAGCCCTTATAGTAGGCCATCCTCAATCATCTCGTCACTTGCAGACAAGTCTTTGGCGGGGCGGGCTAGTTCTGGTTCCATTCCGATTATTTGAGTGTACCGGAGGGGCATGAGTCATCGAGGCTAACATCTACAGAATGAAGCTGAAATCCTATCCAGTCTTATTATATCCAACATGGTTGAAGTAGCTGAAGAGTATCTCCTGTCCGGTGATGCTGCCACGCTGCTCTGTAGCCTCCATATCGATCATACTATGAGTCACGACGCCAGTGATGGCATTGGTCAGGGCAGCGGCCAAGGCGGTGGCCGTAGCCTCGGCATTTTTGTCCTTGACCTTCTCGTTCTCCAGGTCCCTGGGATTTCCGATTTGAATCTGGTGAAGTTGGGCGCCTTCATAATGATGAGCCTGTGGTTTGGGCGGACAGTCTCCTTCTTCGGGGCTTGAAGGGTGTCCTGTACAATCTTGAAGACATCTAAAGAAATACCCTTCTTCTGTGGCTGCTGCGGCGACTTCACAAGTCCTAATGCAAAAGAAACATCAGATTACTGAACATTACGATTGTGTATTTCCATGACTTACAAATTGGCCGGTGAACGGGCGTGTGGTCAGGTAGTGCTGGCGACGCCTTGTAGAGCGTCTCCAGCGTAAAAGGAGTCTGGGCCAAGCATAATTGCAGACGGGGTTGTAAGTCGTAGGGCCCGGGTACATACATCTACGTCCTTCTTGCAGGATTTGTTCTGGTTTGCACAGTCAACGCAGCGCAAACCCTTTCCCGTAATTCCGTCAGCAAGAGAGGCGCACAAGAGGCTAACGAGCACTTACCATGACCGTCTACGACAATCGGGATCTAGTTCGAGGGCTTTGCACCCGACGACGGGGATAGTGGAAGGGGAGGCCTCGAATAGCAGCGACAGCGGCAACCTTCTTTGCCTTGCGTTTCCGGTTGTACATGATTTCCGTAAGTAAGTAGAGCTACAAAGATCGATACGAGAGCACGAGGAATGAAGCCAGAGGATAGAAAACCGGCTTGCCAAGGCACTGAGGTATGCGTGCGCGACCCTGTCGGACCTCCTCAGTCGGTATGATATAGCTGCCAACACCGGCGCCGAGATTCAGACCGGGGAAAGCCTCGAGCGATCGTGGCTATTTTCGCTGAAACTCTGCATGAATTTCGAAATACGAGTAGTGGAAATCAATTGAGGCAAAACGGGGAAGGGCAGCGCTCGGTAGTGATCTTGTAAAGCCAAGCCGCGACCTCCAGCAAGAGATCGGCTGGTGAGAAAGACCGCCTGTAATGATGGGACGTAGAGGGTATGTAGACCCGGGGCCGTCATCGGCGAGGGCCACTAGCCACATCTCGGTGCGATCGATTTCGCCTGGACTGGGTATGCCGTATACTTTGGGTTTTACCTGTCAAGAGACCAAACCTCGACCGCTATCACAGCGGTGACCTGTTTCAGCCGCAAAGTATAAAAGAGGCTAGAGTCGCTTGGATAAGAAAAGAGAGTCGAGGCAAGGTCGTTTAGGATTCTCGCGAGGGAGGCCCCCCCGGCAACAACTACTCTTTTGGTAGTGGCAATACGAGAGGTGATGGTGACAGGACTTCCGGCCTCGAGGACCTCGATGGGACGTAGAAAGATTTGTATATCCTAGCTGGCGGTTCTTATGCCAGAGTCACACCACAATGTACTCTCTATGGCCCGGGGTGTGAGGTATTGCCTGATGTGACGCTCGCGAACAGACTAAGTCAGTAATTGCCAGGGCTATAACGCTCGAGTGTTGACAAGTATTGCCTTTCTCAGAACAGGAGCCACCCGAGTCCTTTACCATATCGATGAGAGAAGCCTTTTAAGCAAATTGTCCTTCAATGGGTGCTATATTAGCTTCAGGTTGGCGGCATTAGTGCCGCCAAGGTAGTTCCTATGGCGTGTTGCTGAAAGACAGATGCATGCCGTAGGTGCTCAGGTACCACAGAGCGACCGTACTCTAGCCCGGGGACCCGTGAAAAAGACCGCGGACTCTGCGGGGGCCGACCTCGAAGTACTCCTAAAAAGGGTCGTAGTCTGGCGAGTAGAGGAGGAGCGTTTCTCCCAAATCCTAGCAGTTAGGCATTATCCAGACGCGCTCATCTTCAGGCCAAGCCTTCTAAATAATATAGTAGAACAGTCTCAGATAAGCGGCTAAGTCGCAGATATGGTTAACCACCGGCCTTGCAATAACCAGGGTCAAGTAATCGTAACGCTCCTCCAAGAGGAATACAAACATCGCCGAGAGTTCGTTCTTGACACAGTGGGCCTCGTTAACTATAATGCGATGCCCAAAGGGAACTTTAGTCAGGTGCAAGGAAAATGTACATTGAAGGTGAGAATGGTGTACAGAAGACCCAGACACTGAATAGGAGCTGGATCAGTTATGAATGGCATTCGGTCCCGTGGACATGGTTTGTGTGTGAATGGAGCAGTTTTGCGGAAATGAGAGACATGTTGTATGTGTGAGGAAGGGAGAGAAGCTCCAAGGCCAAGGCTGGGGATATAATTGGACTGAGGCCCACCACCGCGCTCAGCTATTGTAGAGGGGGTATCACCATAAACAAATCCTCAGGACCACCAGACGCCTGGGATCCATAATATTGGTGGGCTTTTTTCCTTGACCGAACATAAACAGAAGCTGTTGGTCTGTAATAAGGGGATATAAATACTTGACAGAATTTATCAATTGCTTCTTCATGTCTCTTTATGACTCTAACTTATCTATGGGTTTGTCCCGAATCATTCTTGTTCTTTGTCGAATACAGCTTGTGTGCTATTGTGATTGGCAGATTGTCCGTAATGCACCTCTAAGCAAAGCCAGCAAACCAAGCCCCAACTGATACCACCCAAACACTGGATAACAAAGACCAAACCAAATGAACATGAAAGCATTCCTCCGCACCATTTCTATGATTGATTTATCAGAAGCCATTTCTTGTAAGCGGCTAGTTCACATGCGACGCAGCTCCGTCATGAGCTCCGCTTCACGAGACGTAGCCTTGATAAGATCCCATTGCAGAGCCACCTTCTCGTCCTGAGATCTAGCAAGCAGAGAGTGAAGAGCCTCGTTCTCAGCGCGCAGCTTATTGACCTCAAGTCGCATCTTCTCAATGGCAGCGCTCTGGTCGTTGTTCTTGGGAGTTGCACCAGAGGCAATGGGGCTTTGCTGAATTCTAGCAGACGGAACATTATCGTACCGAGCTCTAAGAACCGGGTTCTTGGTGACCGGAGTTTTGGCGACCGGAGTCTTCTGGACAATAGTGGCGGAGGGACCGTTGTAGGGGAAGGCTGGGTTCTGCTTGTACGCGCGGGCAAAGTCGCTCTCTCGAACGAAGTTGCTCAATCTGTCGAGGCTGCGAAGAAAGCGCTTGAGCTCTGTGACGGTAGTTGGCTTGCAAGAGTAAGGCTTTTCCCGATGGGCCCAACGTGCGTACAGAATGGTACCTATGACACCACCAATGTCCTTGCCGCAGAAAGGAACGCAGCGGAATGTACCCAGGCGAATGAGCTTCTCCATAGCGAGATCCCAGGCAGATTCACTCACACTGCCAAAGATGGATTCCGGGTTCTCGGCAACCCACAGGGCTAGAGTGATAAGGTCATGACCGCGATTCGCAATGACGATCTTGCGATCAATGTCGCCTTGCACCGCCTCGTCTTGCTTCTCATAGCGGTCGCAGACAATATTGATGAATGCCATTTCGGTTTTTGGGGTCGGCGTGCCGTTCTCACCAAAACTCTCCTTGAACCTTAGGCCCGGGAAGGTCCTGAGCGATTCGTACCATTGAGGCTTAGCTTCAGACTGAGAGGTCCTGGGGTTGGAGGATTTGTTGGCCATCTTGGGTGTTGATTCTTTCAAGAACGAGTTAGTCTTGCGAATTCACCGAACCTCGAAGCTTGTCGAGTAGTTGTTACCTTAATATTAAGCAGCGCTGCTGGAGGAGAAGCAAAGCGTGAAGTGACGCGCTCTCTTTCCGATCCAAGGTGTGCTCAGAAATCGGGATGTGAAAGGAAGAGGAAAGCAGGGCACGACAGCGGTGTCAGAGATGGGTGGATTGCAAAGTAAAGTACAGTAAAGATGAGCAAGGCGAAGTGATGGGTTGACGCGACTTTCCCTGGCCCGGATTACGGAATTGGAATGGGGAAAGAAGAGACAGGATTGAGATGGAGGGTGAAGAGGAAAGTATAGCGCAAGAAAGGCGGCAGATATGGAGGATGTGCAATGTAAACAAAAGGGGGCGGGGGGCGAGGGAAGGGTAAGGGGGTGAGTGTTGGTGAATGTGGCTCGACGCGACGCGACGGTCAGTGTGAATATACGCGGCGGGGGATATGATTTATTGGGAAGGAGCCATACGGTCACCGGACATGGTCTATAAGTCAGAAGATTGCTAAAATCATCACCCATCGGATGAGGAGATGCCTTTGGCGTAATAGTTGGGACTGCCCACTCCCGACCTCAGCGCTAGGTAATTGACCCCGGTGGCTTTCTATTTTTGGAGGTCATGAGTTCGATTCATGTATAGTGACTCTTTTTTCTTTTCTCACCCTTTCTGTTTTCATCTACTCGTCTGGCTGTGACATTGTGAGCCTCGACGTAGACCCAGAGATGCCTCCAGGGTAGAGTAGCTGGCTTGGGTGCTTCAGTAAACAGATGAACGAGTATTCTTTCCATATTCCACGCGGTCATTATAGAACAAGACAGACACTCACTAGGTGGATTCATCCTCGTTACTATAGACGACGGGAGGTAGAAGGGATGGGCCGGTACGTCTGAACAGGGCGATGGCCTCGGGCAAGTGCCATTATCATTAGAGCTAGAATCCTTACTGAGGCTCATTTTTCCAGGGCATCTTCCATCCAGAGTACTCATCACAAGTTATTGAAGCGTAGTCAGGTGCAGAAGGATAATCTTATTTGCCGGGTCGATTTACTAAAAGCATGAGACTGCCTCCAAATTCAACCGTCCAGTCTCTCACTCTTCACCCAACCCATCCTCTGCATTGTTATTGGCCGTCTGTAGACCGCAATCACCAGATTCGGCGGCGAGCATTCTTCGCCTCATCGAGCTCAGCGCGAAGTGCCTCGTTGACGAGTTCAAGAGTTTCCTGCTCTTCGCGATGAGCGATGTTCCTGTTCTCCAGCTCCTGGGACTTAGCCTGCTCCGTTTTGATCTGGGATTGCAAGTCCTGGATCGTCTGATCACGGCCGTCTTGGGTTCTGGGCTTGACCTCCTTTAGATTGCCTGCTGTATGTTAGTGGAAAGTCTCAAAACATAGCCTAGAATCAATGACGGAAGGCGACTCACCTAACTCAATCTCAGGATAAGGACGAGGACGGTACGGCAGATTGGTCTGATTGGCTGTAGGCGCATCAGATGCGGGGGCAGTACCGGCGTTGTAGGGATGAGGGCGGTACGGCAAAGAGATTTGGCTGCCGCCAGGCGCAGTGGACTCGGAAGAAGTGGAAGCTCTCATCTTGCGTTCGTCGAGAACTGCGATCCACTCATCAAGAGTGGCAAGAAAGACTTCAACGACCGGGTTGAGCACGTCGATGTTGGTATTGTTGCCTCTCAGGTTCTGGATGCGGGCGCGAATGATTCGGTCAACGACGAAAATGACGGAATCAATTCCGAGCTCACTGGAGTCCTCCCACTCGCGGGAAGGGCCAGACTCCTCAGCAAGGCGGGTGAGGGCAGCGCCGTACAATGTGCTGAAGTTCGCATGTTTGCCGGAGACGTACAGATTGATAATGGCGCGGAAGAGGACATTGCCGCGGTTGGAAATGTAGTGCTGGCGAAGACTGACGTGCTCCCTTCCGTGGAAAGACTCGTTGTTGCCGAATAGCTTAAGGTAGACGGCATTGACGCGACGATTGAAGAGGGGGGCATCGCCTTCAATGTAGAAGTCGAGACCTGGAAATTCCAGGATCGCCTTGACCCAAGGACGATTATTTGGGGCCATTGCGCTTCTTTGTTCTGGTAGGCTGTAGCTGATGATGATGATAATGTTGTTGTTATTGTTACTGCCAACTGCCCCGGTTGGAGGAGAGTGGAAGCAGGAAATGAAACAGGTCAAGTTGAGAAGAAAAGTGGAAGGCCTAGACGCGAGGTGAAAATTCGTCTCTTCCTTCTCTGTTAGCGATAATCAGGATTGCGATGAAAACTTTCGTCGCGTACCTAGGCGGCTGAAGGCTCACCTTGAGTTAGGGCTGGCGAAAAGCTCATACAAGAGGTGAGTGGATCATATGAATACGACGACGACCTCAGAAATCAAAGAATACACATAGAGTAAACACCGATACAGGTAAGCTGTTTATCTATCCATTTTTGCTAACCAAGATCGGCCATGTTGAGACACGAAGAAATAATGACATCGGATAAGGTAGATTTTACTGGAACAAAGTATCAAAACACCATCTGCCACCGGTCCGCATCCTGAGGTCTCATAGACAGCAACCACAGCGTGAGCCTCGCCAAGAAGGAAGAAAAAAAGATTCTAAAAAGGGACTCGAACTCACGACCTGCAAAATAGAAAGCCACCGGGGGTCAAGCTGGTGGCGCCGAGGTCGGGAGTGAGCAGTCCCAACTATTACGCCACGAGGTCTCCTCGTCCGATGGTGACAGATCGAGAGCAAAAGTTGTATATATGGCCCGACGGCGTCACAGTGTCTCCACAATTACTGACAATGACGGGAGGAAAGCGCTCCTATTGCATGCTGACGGACATTCCCTAGGTAGTAATTTCCTATGATCGAAAATCTCCATGCAGGCATGTGCCTCGTGCTGCCCTCACTTGGTTAGACGTAATGACTTTGATGACACGCCTTATTTCAAGCACCGGTTCGCTATCTACCTTACCTTAGTACAATACCTCGGTACCTATGCCTGATTACTCGCCTGGAGCTCTCTCTTGGATGGATGGTGGGTCGTCTGGAGGAGAAGGTTTGCGGGCGCGATTATGTAATGACCCCTGTTTCCACAATGTTATTCCAACTACATCCCTTCGCGTTGCGACAATTCCTTCGCTGTCTCCAACTCAGGAAAGTTTTCTTTGATTGGGGTCTTATTTACGAAAAAATCCGGTTTGAAAGAAAATTGCTCTGTTTACTACCAGGAATCACCGTTCACGATGCCGAGATGTGTGTCCCTGTCCCGCCAAGGCCATGCCCAGACTTCCAAGTCTCCCCTCACCACTCATTTTCCGTCCTGATTCTCGCACATCTCGAGGCAAATGATGCACTAAGACGTGGGATTGGAACCAAGACCACCACCATTGTCATGACACCTTCGATAAGATGCTTGGCAGTGCGGGGAAGCTGGCTTTCAGCGTTTGGCTTGCGAATGGGGCACAAGATGAAAGTGAGGGAGGTGTTTTCCTACGTTCTTTTTTGCGAAGCCTAGAAGTTCTATTAACTTTTCCCCATTTCCCGTTGAATTTCCTTGAAATCCAGCTCTCTTGGAATCCAAGGTCAAGCTTACTGTCAAAGATTTGCCATCGCCGTCTCGTGAACCTTCTCGGCCACTCCCGCTGCCATGAAACTCTCTTTGTTGAACCGAAAGGCTGAGCCAGATGCCAAAGATCCCACTTTTGTCCCGATTGAAGTTAAAGAGGCTCTCAAAGTTGCTCCCGAGGTTCGAGATTATGCTGGCGCGCGTGCGAAGTATGACCCAACCGAGATCGCCCTGGTGCGTCGTCTTGACTGGATGATCATGCCTATACTATGGTAAGAAGGCCTTTTCACCCGGATTTGAATATCTACTGAAGAAACTTCAAGGTTCATTTACTGGCTCAATTACTTAGTGAGAATACTCCAACTCCAAGACCTCTCAGCATACATTTCTGACCTACGTTCAAGGACCGCAACGCCATTGCCCTAGCCAGACTCAACACCCTCGAAGAAGACCTCAATCTCACCTCGACAGAATACCAAACATGCGTCTCGATACTCTTTGTCGGATACGTCATCGTCGGTATCCCCGCAAACATGGTCGTGACGCGAGTCCGCCCGAGCCTGTGGATGAGCTCCTGCATGGCCGTCTGGGCCATCATTAGTGCCCTCACGGCAGTCAGCCAGAATTACACGGGCTTACTGCTCACTCGCTTCTTCCTCGGCATCACCGAAGCGCCTTACTATCCAGGTGCGCTATACGTACTCGCTACGTTCTACACGCGCAAGGAATTGGCGACGAGAATATCGATTCTGTATACTGGGAATATCCTAGCGACGGCCTTTGCTGGTCTGATTGCCCTGGGAATATTCCAGATGCACGGAATGGTTCGTGTCCTCCCCTTGATGCCCGGCGCGGACGTTGACGAGGGAACAGGCCGGTATCGCGGGCTGGAGATGGCTTTTCATCATCCAGGGCGTAGTCACCCTCATCATCGCCATAATGGCCTTCTTCATCCTCCCCGATGAACCTCTCACGACACGATGGCTCAGTCCTGAAGAACGTATTCTAGCCAACGAACGAATTCTTCAAGACACTGTGGGTAACACTGGCCAGACGACAACCTGGTCTGGTCTCCTTGAGGCTGCCAAAGACCCCAAGGTCTGGCTCTTCACTGTAATGCAGCACTGCCATCTGGGTGCGAATGGGTTCAAGAACTTCTTTCCGACTGCGGTCGAGACGCTTGGATTCAATGAGACGATTACGTTGGTGCTTACATGCCCTCCGTATCTGATCGCAGGAGTGATATCGATTGCTTGGTCCTGGTCCTCTGGGAGATTCAATGAACGTACTTGGTCAGTTTGAGACCAGCTGTCAGATTTGAGTGACGTGCATGCTGATCATGAATGAAGGCACATCACCATCGCAAAATCGATTGCAGTATTCGGCTTCATCCTCGGCTGTGCTACACTTAACACAGGTGCCAGATATTGTCAGCATTCCTCCCTCGAAACTTTCTAGGTGCTTTGCTAACCTCTCAGTCTCCATGGTTGTGTTCTCTGTGGGGACATATGCAGTGAACTCAATCATACTGGGGTGGGTCTCGGCGACTTGCTCCCAGACGAAAGAGAAAAAGGCATCCTCCCTCGCCATCGTCAACTGCATCGCCGTCGCATCCTTCATCTGGACACCCTACATGTGGCCAAAGTCCGACGAGCCTCGATACGTCATGGCAATGTCTTCGAGCGCGGCGCTTAGCGTTGCGACTGCCATGGGCGCATGGGCGATGCGGTTCTGGCTCAAGAATGAGAACAGGAAGATTCGGCAATCCGAGAACGAAAACGTTCTATTTTATGCGTACTGAGGGGGGAGATGATAGGAGAGACATGCAGGACGCTTCGCACAAAGACATTGTTGATTATTTGTCGCCACATGTTCTTCAGCCTAGACACTCAATGACATAGCAATCCCTGAAGTACCCCTTCCCATTGTAATCCCCAAACGCAGCGACGGGATGCCTGTTCACCAATTGCCACATTTCACAGTCCTCCTCGACTCCATCGATGGTCATCCTGATCGCCCGGCCCTTCCGTCTTTCCCTGAGCTCAAGCTCCAACGCTGATTTCAAGTAGACCCACGCAACAATATCAGGACCAGTGAGACCCGAAGAAATCAGTCTTGGTAGCAGATAGTCGAGAACGGTGGTGATAAAGTTTGTGCCCTCGGACAAGCCTGCAGCCATCCTGAGCAGTACATCCACCCGAAGAACAGTGAATTGCTGTCGGTGTTGCATGTTCATACCACAAACAATACCAAGAATGACCTTGGCGAGTGCATCTGTGCCCGAAGACTGCACAGACGGGTCGAACAGAGACCGCAGGTAGCTGCACGTCATCCTACACACGAGATAAATCACGTACTCAAGAGCTTTTCTCGTGTCACCGAAACGGTAAGTGACAAAAGTCTCAAAAGTAGCGCCACTGATCAGATCCGAATCCGCCCCAAGATTGACGACCGGCATATCGTGGTCGCAGAGCCCCCTGTGCCAGTTATCCAGCCGATGCGAAAACACATCGCACTGCCGCAATATCGTATCAGGTGTGAGGTTCTCCTTGTGAAAGTCCTTGAGGCGCACATTACGGCGATCCGATTCCCGGCCGAGGACAGACATAAGCCACAGTGCAACTTTCTCTGAAGCGCTATCGCCGTCTGCGGTCGTATCTTGGCTAAATGTAGCCTCCATCGCATAGCGTGCATGAAGGCCATGTAGCCTGAATAATATATCACGAATTGCTAGTTGCGGGTCTAGTAGACTCGAGACATCGTAATTGTCTACAACATTGCATGTCGCTCGCGTCGGCAACATCATGAAACGAACATCGTAGCGAAGCATTCGCCAGGCTTTGAAGAGGTCGGGGATGGACGACGCGGCAAAGTCGAGCTTGGATGCGATGGCGTCCAGCCCGGTAGCGTGATTCCTGATTCCCAGGGCTGTGCCGGCTTCCAGCTCGTGGTAGGCAAGCAGTAAAGCGGCGCCCGCGAGCTCCTCACCGCGGTAGTTTTCCACGTTCTGAACTTGAGCTTGGAGGCCTTTGACCGCTGTGTCATAGTAGATCCAGACGCTGCTGTCGTCGCATACTCGACGGAGCACGAGCGGGTCGATGGGAAGAGGTTGCGTCAGCTTAATGTTGCTGGCGGACAGAGCTAGGGCCGCTGATCTGAAACAGCTGCTCTGGCGGAAGAGACTCGGAAAGGAGAGAGCAACTGGTATCAAAGGAAGGACGTTTCTGTCGAAGTGCTGGATAAGGACCTCTTCTAGAGGTATCGATAGCTGGCAGTCTACCGTCGGTTCGCCTAGGGGAGATGAGGTGGACGTGGAAGACCCCGGAGACGAACCGTCGGTGACGAGGAACTCGTCCCACCCAGTCGTCAAAGCTGGGCTCGGGGCTTCCGCTACCGGTGCCGAGCTGTTTGGTACTCCACTTGTCAGCGTCAACCGGTTGGCAGAATTCTCGAACTTTGTAGGTTGCTCTATTCCGCTCGAGGTATCCCTTGGTCCGACTACCTCCTGTTGTTGTTGAGGCGGATCTCGAATCGCGGAAGAAGCACCAGATGTGTCGAAAAGTGACCACGGTAAGGTGAAGGACCCAGCGAGCCAGCCCTCAGCATTCGCCGAGTGCCATGGAGGTATAGGTGCCAGGGCTGTAGCTGGCAACGCATCATCTCTCGCCGGCAATTCTATAACATCTTCCGGCGTTGATGACTCCCGAGCGACAGGGGACGGCTCCCCGATTGACCCAATACGGCGTCGTTTCCTTCGCTCATCCTCAAGACGTAGAGCGGCCCATCTAGCTTCCTCAAACTTCCTCGAAGACTCGGCTGCTCGAGTGGTGACGTCTCTGAAGGTCACGGGACGCTCGTAGCCGCTGCACTTTACTCCTTTCTTCACGCAAGCGAGGCATTCCGGGCGTGTCTCGTCACACTGTTTACGAGTCAGTTGGAAGGTACTTTCACAAGACGGGGAACATGGCGAAGAAAGTAGAATGTCACCGTGGGAAGTACGACCTTTCTTCTTTTCTTTTTGCAATTTGGACAACCCGTTCGCTTGCGGACAATGTCAGTCTTTTTGGGGCGGGTAGAGTGGGATTCCATGGGTGGCGCCGAGCCGGGAAAGACACCGTGAAAGCCGAGCTTTCAGCGGGAGGCAGACGGGACTGATGGTTGTTGAAATCGCTGAGGTGTTCATTAGAAGACAGTAGATGCACTGCGACGTCCTTGAGTCCTGCGAAACATGCAGATATGACCAAGGGCCCGCGAGAAATGCCAAGAATATCCAGTGATGCCCGCCAGAGGGCAGTGGAAGTAAGGTGAAGAGCAGTAGCAGACGCGGGCCCAGATCGAGCGGATAAGCGAGCCAAAAGAGCTTTCCCTGTTTTGGTCAGCGGGTGCGCCGCTAAGCCTGTTATGGCTGTGCGGAACGGCCCAACGGACAAGTCTCCACCCGTTCCGTATCGGTGTTCGGCGATAAAGTCGCTAGGAGATGAAGCGCACCTACCTCACCCAGTTGAAGAAGTAATACCTCTACGCCAGAAGTTACTGCTTCCAGGTCATTGAGATATCATGTCCACCTCAACTTCGTAAAGTGAAACAATGGAGTGTACCTAGGGATACGTAACAAGGAGGCATATCTTCCACTAAGTTTAAGTTGGTGTGCAATAAGTGTGTCTCCGTAAAAACAAAAGTTGCATCAAATTCACGCAAATACTCACGCTTGGTCTAGTCTGGTCATTTGAACATGAAAGAACTTTTGTAAAACTCCGATTATTTCTGATAAGGGCACTAAGTAAGAAGCCATAGAGATGAAGCTTAGCCTGTTTATTGCTTTGCGGTAGTGTTGTAACCCCGTCTTTTAGCAGCTAACTGGAACCCGCCTCCCCCAATGCAAGTTGCTGAAACTGCTTCCAGATCCCAAAGGCATTCGCCACAACATCATCCATCTGCGCCGAATCCGACTTCATTTCATCTCCAGCGAGACGATCTGAATCGGGACCAGGCGAAGGCGGTAGCTGAATCCATCCATGCTGAGCCATCACCATCGCTGCCGTCTCCCCCTTCCCATTCAGCAAATTCTGAGCCGCCCCGGCCTGGATCAAGGCGTCAAAAATTGCGTTCGCATTTCGTACCCGCTTCTCTGCCTCCGCCGGACCACTGATTGTCGTGCTGAAGATGCCATTGATAGTTTTTTTGCCAAAGAAGTAATTGGTTCCAATAGCCCAGCCTACCATAAATCCCTGCTCCTCGTCAACGTCCCACGCCAGGAGGTCGTCCGTTTCGCCGATGGGCAAAGGACTTGCTATTGAGAGCGTATAGGCGACGTGTAAAGGTGTCTCCCCCTCGGAATTGGGGTGATTGACGGGGGCTCCGCAGCGGATGAGAAAGTCAATCATCTGTCGGCTCTCGTGAAGGACTCCTGGCATCCTTTTCACTCGGCCCATGGTGTCTGCGAGGAGACTAAGCTCCTCTTCGAACGATCCAAAAACATTCTGAAGAACTTTGAACGCCTGATGGAGTTCCCATGGTCGGGAAATTTCCATCGCAGCCCTGAATAACAACGTGCGGTCGCAGCCGCTGGGATCTGACTCTGCTCTCTTGGCGATTAGTGCTTTCAGCTTTGCGCTCTGTAGGGACAGCCTTTCGGGCTCGGTCATATCAGTGGGATACAATCTCGCTACCGACGATGACAAGCCGAGGATGACGACGTAGCTTTTGTCTCCTGCCCCCAGACCCGGCTCGTTGAATGGATCTGCTCCGGCGTCGAGAAGAAGCTGGAACATCTCGGCAGATACGTAGTAGATAAGGCTGTCCACTACCAGGTTGATTCTGGTTCTTGTTGGCCGGAGGCGCGTACCCTCAGGTGTCCACTCCGCCCACTCAGTGTATTCGCGGTTGACGTCGAACCCGTGGTCAATCAGGAGGCGAAATATCTGCAAGCTGACCTCTAGATCCTCCGGCTTGTGCTCCATGAGGAAAATTCTCATCGCTTCCTGTAAACAAGTCACTTCGCCTCCGTCGTTGGGCGGGTACACCGTCGACGCCCCGTGTTTTAGCAAAAGCTCAACGGCATCCCGGTCCAGGTTCCATATGGCGGCCTCGAGCGGTGATTTGTGATCTAGAAAGACGTGCATGGTGTCCTCCTGTTCGCACTGGCAAAAGCCGATTCGCTGTGTCGCCGGACGTGCCCCGTCGACATGAGCGCCAGCTTCCAACAGTCGCCGGAGGCCTCTGACATCTGTGCCTCTCTCGACATGCCAGAGAAGCAACGGTTCTGTGTGCATGAATCTGTCCTTGTCGATGGGAATGTTCGGGGCAAGCTCTAAGAGTGTCTCGATCATGGCACTGCTGCTCGCCAGGTGCAGGACACTGATTTGGTGATTAACATCCACTGGCATGCCACGGAACGCAAAGACCTGCAGCAGCGGCTTTTCCAAATCTGCGCCGTACTTGTGAAGGAGTTTGACGGTTTCGACCTGGTCTTCCAAGATGGCGTGGGCCAGGACGGAGTAGTTTATCCAGATCTTGTGCGTATCGCACGCGGGACGGTACAGTCGCTCAATCAGGAGCGCAGCCAGACACTGCCTTCTAATGGCAACGTTTGACGGCGCTTGAAGCATCAGATTGTCGACTGGGAAGTCAAAGTCGGCCGGGCAGGCAAGCACAGACCTTGAACAGGCAAACTTAGCTTCGTAGCCGAGTTTTAAGAGTTCCTCGACCCGGTCTACTTCATTTCTGATAATGGCTGCTAGCATCGCGGTGTATGTTTGCGATGCTAAATCGCGGTGCAGCAGGAGACTTCGCTCGAATGACGTTGCAAAGCGTTTTTGAGTGAGGGTGAGTTGGAAAATGTCGCGGGTCGTGAGGTATTCGCATATGCCATGCATGATGTCTTCAGCGAGAGTGGATAGTGAGGCCATGGTACACGATGGACTTATGGGAGCATTCGGCTCCTTCTTCTGAACGAACAGTGATAAAGAGATGTAAAGAAGTGCAAACCTGTTTGAGAGATAGTTCCCTCAGGCTGAAGAAATTTAAAGAGGACGATACTATCCGCGACTGGGACATGACTTTTAAGCGAGAAAGCCCTTGCAGGGCGGACAGCTCGGATGCCGGCATATCCAAGGAATGCAGCGAAGAGCGGCCAAGGGCCTGGCAGCAAGGGAATGAAAGAAGAAGAGAGTCGCCTTGGCAGCTGAAATGCAACTTGGGTAATAATCTCAAGTCACAAGGCAGACTAGGCAGACTTGACAGCTTGGCTACTTACCCCATGGGGGCTATGGGAGCCCGGATCAGGAGATCGCAACGTCGAATCAATTCAACTCGGGGTTTGGAAGGGGTTTTGGCATCGCGGAACCGCTCCGCTCCGCACTACTCCGCGCGCTGTTTAAAGCTTCCTCCCACCGGCTGCATCCAACTCAAGATTTTGGAACAGCGATATCAGGAGCTGTTTAATACGATCAGGGCAATGGCATCTTCGCATTTACCCTTTTTTTTACCCTACCTATTTCTTTCCTTTTTGTCTTTAGTCCTCATGATGCACCTCAAGCGGGATGCTTCAGATCTGTGAATCCACTCTGTCCCATAACCAGGACCCACGAACCTTGGCCGCCGATCTTCGCTTATGATTTCCACTGATTGGTTGGTCCAATTCTCCGCCAAGTCAATTCCGACATCAGGTTATGATGGAAGAAGATCATCCACAAATTCCGCGAGTGATTAACGAGATGAAAAGTGTTGCAAGGCAGTTCTCTTCCACCACGTCGCATCAGCTGGCCGTCGGAGTCGACTCCGACTCTCAATCAGGGTATCAAGACCAATATGCGATAAACGTCACATCGACTACACATGCATCGGCTCTGAACTGGGAAGACTCCTCAACTGCTTCGATCTGGATTTAAGAGACTGCAGAGGTTCTTCCGCGGCAACGCTAGACCCAAATCACGTCTCATAGATCCTGAAACTGCTCTGCGGGGAGCAATAGTACGGTTTTGGTACATTGCAAGAGGCTTGAACCTTCAGGTAATTGGCCAGCATAACCATTTGAGGCCAAAATGCCTTCAAAAGCTGACAGATTTCCTCACGAATCGATCGGAAAGTCGAGGAAGTAACCGGTCACGCTGTACACATGAATGATCAAAGATGTGGTGTAACTAAAACCATGTGACTGAACGCCATTGCTCGCAAAAGCCATATTCCCCTCGGCTCCATGCCGAGGCCCATCGCCCGAAAATGCCCCACTTCCCCGTTCCAGCTCGCCGGCCAAAGTGGAGTGTCACACCGGCCCTCCGATGGTAGTATCGCGAAAAAAACACGTTAGGAAACCTAGCCACGCCCGACCATAGGAAGGAGTCGAAGGAGCCCGATGGCCGGGTGCTAGTGCAAGGTACTTTTTCCCCGCGTGTCCTCGATGTAACATCTCATCTACAAGCGGCTAATCCTCCTGGGTTTTAGCTTCGTTACTCGAAGAAAATTGCATCGCGAATTTAGGCAGCAGACATGTTGCTGTGCCGCAAGGCACCACGGCACAGCAAACAAATGGTCCGCCAGTAATCAAAGTGGTGAAACTTGAAGGAAGGAATAAGGGAATTTCGCTTGGCGTTTGCTTTGCCGCATGGTGAAAATTCGCGAACTTGGACTATTTAAATGGATATGATGTCCCTCATTGTCCCAAGTCTTTCTTGTGAGTTTCTCAGAAGTTGAGCATTTTCAAAAAGAAAGTTTACTGCCAGAAAGGAGTCGCTACAACAAACCGAGAGATCAGCATTGAAGACAAGACTAGGTCCTCTATTCAACCTCACTCAGCCATGCATCTGCTCAAACTCATCTCCCTCACAACGGCCATGGCGCCAACAGCCTTCGCCCAACTCTGGTTCGGCACCACCCTCCCGACCTCGACCGCCGCCGACGAATACCTCTCCCAACACGTCAAATCCGTCCCGAGCACCATCACCGGCGCCGTAGCAACCTCCCTCGCGACCGCGCTGTACAGCGTCGACCAAAAGTACTTCAACGACAAGGAGTGGACGACGGTCTACTCCCACATGTGGTCCGCCGCCGCCAAGGCCACCGACGCGCCCGACGTCGTCGCCTCGATGGCGGTCAACGGGTACAGCCTGGACACCCAGCAGGAGGCCAAGTGGTGGAAGGATAACGTGCCGGACAAAGACGACAAGTGGGTTTCGTCGTATGTTTCGGAGTGGCAGAAGGCGTGGCAGGATAATACGGCGGCGACGAAGACTTCAAAGGGCGGTGCTGCTGTGGCGAGGTGTACTGGGATGGCTATGGCTGGTGTTGCTGCTGGTGTGGCTGCTGGGGTTATGGTCGCGATGTGAGAGGCAGAGTATTGTCAGTTGTTCGAGTCCTTGGCTTTGTCGTCCAGACTACGCTGTCTGCGATGCAAACTCAGTGGGTTGAATGTGGGACTGAATAGTGCGACATCTTACCTTTCTTCGTATCTCTCAATGAAGCGATCAATTTCGTCCACATTCTTCTCGATCTTCTTCAAATGAATAGCCCTTCTAGTCTTGGCGCCCCAAGACTCTGAAGTCTCGACCTCAAGTAAAACTTCCAAGCCATGGCTATCGATTTCTGCGCACGAAATCTTGTGCTCCAATGAGTGAATGTCTGACTTGCTGGCGTCGAGTTTCCGCTCTAAGCCCTTCCGGATCTTGACCAACTTCTTGCGCTTCTTCTCGGCATTATCGAGCGTCTTTTCGAATGAAGACATTCTTTGACTCAGTAACTCGTACTGGTTTTGGAGTCTGTTGATGTCGGCTGTGATGTCTTTCTCCTCTTGAGGCTGTGGTAGAACAGATGAAGTATTGTCGCTCGGAGGTGTGGCAGACGGGGTCGGGATTCCCTCGTTATTCTGCTGTACAGTTGCTTGTACTATGTCTTCCAAGACTTCTGAAATGACTGGGTATGCTGATTTGCCAAGATCCTCGACTATGTTGGTCAGCACCATCGTGTCAAATTTGTCGAACTCTGTCGCTAAGCCGAAGCGAACAGAGAGGCTGTGACCGGCGTGACAGGAAAAAAAGAAGAGGAAAGAGCAAGTAGTCCTCTTTTCTCATCCTCGAGCTAAGTGAAATATGCGGGCCGCGGAGCGAGTCGAGATTAGTGGGACCTGTCAAAACGAAGGTTCAAGATGAATACGGATGTCCAAAAGGGTCATCACGAACTTATCCTCAATCAGTCAGGTACGAACCGGAAGTACAATCTCTAAATGCAGGGGATCTTACCAGAATTGCCATGCGACCTATAGTTTGTCAAAAAAAAAAAAAAAGAAGAAGAACCAGAAAGCAGCGCTTATGCTATCCAGGTGACCACAACGGGAACAAGTCGTTGTCGTGATAGCATCGTTCGCCTGTTCAAGGACCGCCATCACGTGACCGCAACGAAAGACGACAAGGTTAGCCAACAAAACTGTTCCTTCCAATCATTTTCTCACCTAAAGCGCCCTCGTGAAATCAAAAATAGGTGCTATTTCAGCAATGCGACTTTCCACAGTAAGTTATCAGACGAAACGCTATTAGCAAGAGAAGACCCGTAGGAATGGAGGCATTAGTGGGGTGAAACTTCATCTAGTAAGAGCAAGTGACATTTCGATACCCAAAATAGGCAATCTAGGACTACATGTATCTACAACCTGCAAACTCTTTTCCATCTACTTCCGTGGCCCTTAGCCAATTCTGTCAAGTACGATCCAGCATACAAGCTACATTTACCAGCGAAGTCATAATCCTTCCGACAACATCCGTGTGCCAGGGGGTATACAAGACCATTAGTATTAACCTGTTCATCGAAGTTTAGACCTTGGCGTGCTCAGGGGCAAGCTCAGTTCCACCGCTGTGCGCCGAGTCAACAGGCAGAGAAGGGTGAATAGCCTTCTCCATATCGTCATCCTGTCCAGGATTGGCAGTCTGGTACTCGAGCCACTTGAACAAGGCATAAACCAAGAAGGACAGAAGAGCACCAGCGAATGGGCCAATCCAGTAGATCCAATGGTAGTTTACGAAACCGATAATGACAGCTGGACCAAATGACCGAGCAGGGTTGATTGAAGTGCCAGTCCAATTGGTAGCCGTGATGTGGGCAATGAAAACGGAGATGCCGACGCCGATGGGCGCAAGGAACGTCGCGCGGTGCTTCTCGACAGCGAGGAAGTAGACCGTCAAGACGAGCTGGGCCGTCAGAAGCATCTCGATGAAGAAGCCCTGGGGCACGGTGGCGCCGCCGCCCAGAGTGTTGGCGACGCGGAGAGGGCCGGGGAGGACTCCGTATACCACGGCAGCGGCAGCGATACTAGCGAGCAGCTGGGCGGGTACGATGCAGAGACCTCGAAGCGGCTTGACTGCTCCGACGAGAACGAGACCGAGGGTGACCTGTTACGAAGATGTTATTCAGCGTTTGAAGTAGAAAGGGTTGGGGGTTAAGATGAACTGGGTCGGAAACATACCGCAGGGTTGAACATGCCACCGCTGACGCGGTAGAAGATCCAGACGTTGGCGGTGATGGCTGTGCCGAAGGCGGCGGCGATGTAGAGCAAGCTGTCAGGAGAGAGTGTGGCCGCTGGGTCGTCGGGGTTGTTGGTGACGATGGCGGTCTGGGCTCCGAGGAAGGAGAGGAGGAGGAACATGAATGTTCCGCAGAACTCGCCCAGTACGATGACTAGGAGGTTGCGCTGGGGCAGGGAGAAGGGGTAGCCTCGCTGTCCCGCGGGAGGATGGGTGGCGTGCACCGCATCGATGGCCTGCTTCACGGGCGTGTGGTGGGCGTTGGAGGCTGACATCTTGTAAGTGATGGTTGAAAGAAGTCGTCTAGGTTAGGAGAAAGGAGAAAGAGACTGTGAGATGATTGTGAGACGGTGTTGTTCGATGGCTTGGGTGATATAGGATGCTTGTGAGAGCCCAAGCCATCTATAAATACGTATCATGATGAGAAACGAATGGCTGGTTTCTAGAAGTGAGGCGGTCGTCAAGCTTGCTCGTCATCCAAGCTGTCTCGTCATCCAAGCTTTCTGCTGTGGTTCTCCGGCAAAAGCGAATATTCCCACGATCAGATGCATCGCCGTGGGCCAGATTCTTTCAGTTGGGCACCAAGTGGTAGGGATAGCGTCAGTACAACGACGAGGAGGTTGGAGTACACGAGTGCAATACTGAGGTCGGCACGAGGGGTGTTGTGCCACGCATACCCGAGGATCTGTACCCTCATATCGACGACCACAAGGTCCCAATCGAGACCGGTGTACTTGAAAATCTGGTGATGAACCATACGAATTGTCCTGTCACTTTTGCCTGGGCACCAATCGCCATGCTGTGCTATTACGTGCTGCCGTGCTCATCTTCTCGAACGACTTCAATCATCTCAATGTCAGGTCGCTCACCGGGTTGGGCCTCAATCTGTGTGTTTCGCTGGTTCGGTCGTGATCTTTACCCAGCCTCTCCCTGTTCTAATGGGTCCGTTGCCACGATGTTGGGCTCGACGCTGTGTGTCTCGCCTCACGTTATGGAGTTGACTCTTGAGATCGAATGAGTCCTCTGTCAATCGCATATCACCAGCAGCATGGTCAAGGATAGAAGCAGTTAGTCACGAAAGCGGAAGGAGATGTGAGATGTCCGATACTTCGCATTGGTTTACTTTGCCTATGGAAAGTCAAGTACCATCCCGCTTCTACAGTATGTTCAGATAACAGTCTATCGAGGCCGGACATCCTACTGTATTCCTCTATCCCTATACGCACGTACTTGGAGGCAGAAGCTTCAGCTGACGTTCTTTCGCGATCGCTCCCTGATGCTCGATCTCTCTCTGTCTCTGATGCCAAGTCCGTGCGGCCACAAGCTATGTGCACCGTTTGTATAGTCAAGCTTTCGGGACCCTGACCATGTCAACCCTCCTCTGGAGTTGGGCTCGAATATGTATGTCTCGCTACCACAGCGATGATCTCTACATAGGACTTCACGCGTCCGACGGAAAAGGTGCTCCGATGTCAAACCAGTACCATGCGTCTTGCCGCTAAAACTGGGGGTACAGGAAAAACGGCCAGTCTCACCAAAGTCCTCTTCTCCAGGAAGTCTCGGGCTGTCACGCCGAGTCCCTCAAAAGAAACGAGAAACCAATGTCAAATGGAATAATCCATCTTCAGGCTTGAGATCTTGCTAGGGCCGAACCTCTCTTTCTCGGAGCCGATGCCAAAGGCAAGACTGGCGTTTTAGCCCCCCACTTTCCGCTACAGTGAACGCCGGCGTCAGTTTAATGTGCAATGATGATGACAATGGTGATAGAAACAAAGCAGTTGTCATTACCGGCATGCCTGGCTCAGAGTGTCTTGCCATCGTACGTTTCCCGGTTGGCATCATCGCGTCCTGATTGGCAGATCCCTCCGATGTCATGCTTCGGTTTGCATCTCCCGCTAGCGCACGTCGATGCGGACGTGATTCGCCAGCGTGAATGCACAGCGGTATCACCATCTAAGGTTGACAAACAGAACGCAGCATTAGGGTTCGCCTGAACTTCTTGCCTTTCGTCTGAACTGGTGGCCCGACTTTTTCCTGGAGAGACACATCATGTTTGCCAATGGCGGCAGATTTTTGCGCATGTCGTGCCGCAAAGTCTTCGTTGTTTGTCCCACAGAATCTAGACGATTGCGCATCCTGCAATCTTACACGGTCTCTGTTACTTGTGGCATCCACGTGAGCTGTGTAGCACAAACAAGCTCTCCTCGCAGCCTTGGTGACCGATTAGCTGCTGATGTCACGGGCTCGTTCTCATAACCAAATGGAGCATGCAGAACGGGCGAAAAAAGCACAGAAGAAGAACCACAAAAACGACCCACCTCTCTCCAAAATTCCTCCGCTGCAGCGTTCTTATTTTGAGAGAACAAAGTCATACTGGCCTTCCATTATTGGCCGGAATCCCCTCTCGATCTTTACCTCCTGCATGTGCGGGGGTTTCAAGTATGGCCCATGAACCCCATGGTCGACTGGCCGTGAAGGGCCACGAGGGGCAGGACGAATGAAGGTGGTTGCGCAACAACGGTGGAGCGTGGGATCGCGGGTCAAAGTCTGGATTGATCGACATGCGGGCCGGTCCTAAGCGCTAAGGGCAGTTGGGACATGATCTGCGGGCTGGTGGCCAGCCTCTTGGACACCACCATGTATTTTTATATTTTGCCTGATGGTTTGATCATAGCGTGGATTTCTAAATGTCTCATCTGGAACACCGAAGACTGGCATCGCTAGAATTGCTCCTGTAAAAGCCGCACACACTAGGCGGGGAGAGCAGAAGGCAAAATTTTCAGAAGTTGACTTCACCTTGGAAGCTAGAAATACTACTCGCGACTTAGACCCGGCGTCGGGGTGCCAGCTGCAAGACTTAATGGCTCTACGGGGCGGGCGAGTGACCAAACTTCAGCAGATGCTATTCATGAGCCAACGATTATGTTATTGCCTTTAAAGAGCCTCTAGACCAGGCCGCGACTGATCCTCTTCTCAACGGGAAAGTCTTGCGCCACGAACGAAGGAGGCGGGGACGGTAAGACATCGAGTGAGACACGAAGCGGAGAACGAGGCGTCAAGCCGCAGAACGTCGCAGGCTTGACCGAAGACTCGGGCGAGCTGCCCAAAGTGTTGGGGGCCAGAACTCCCCCAAGCTGAAGACAGAGATCCGCGTCTCTCGGCTGTTGAACATGAAGGCAGGGCAGTGGAGTTACTACGATACAATATGTCCAGAAGTAAGAACCACAATGCCCACCCTTCAAGACCTAGAAATCCCTCGTTCCACCGTGGCAATTTGATGGCTTAGGCTTCTGCGTCAAGCAGGCTTCAACCATGTGGTAAGAGTTGGGTTGCAGACGCAGTGTGTACGATCGATTATTGATGAAAAGGTTGGGTCAATGACGAAACAGACAGCAGTTGAAGCCGTAGTTTGATGCGGGACGGACGGGATGTCCTGGTCTCAGGCGGGGTGGCGCTCACCATCGAGGTCGATCGTTTCGAGACAATAAGGCTGGACTCGAGAGGGTGAGCAACGGCATACCCAGAATGGCTAGCCGCAACATAGCAGCCGTCATAAAGCGCTCTGGTCAGGCAGCACCGATTCTGATGTGTTGATGATTAACTCCATCAGTCTTTTAATAGCCAAGGCCATTTTACAAGCGACAGAAAGCGCAGTTGATACGGCAGAGAGTGACACCCGAGTAGGCTTGGACTCCGATACATGGCCATAGGGACAGGTATCAAGAAGCAGTATGTTCAATTCCTAGGGCTTTGAAGCTTACATGAGCAAACAGACAAATGAGCTCAAGGCTGGTGGTCCTGACATTTTATCCTACAGAAAGTTCTCTGCCCAGAATCCTCGACTTTGGTTGTTCAGCATTGAGATCCAACCACTCGATATCACCAGATATTAGCCCTCAAACTTAATCCAGCAAGTCCACCACTTCAACGAAAGCAAAGCCATTTGATCCGTTCTCAGTGCTTCCTCCAGGTCTGTTCATCGCAACCCGTTGCTGCGACGCCTCACATAGGTCACTGAGCTCTTTGTTGAGTCTGCGAAGCTCAGAGTTCTCCGCTTGCAAATCCTCAACTTCCTTTGTGATGGACTTGTTCTCCTGTCCCACCTGGCGATTTCGGTCCATTGTCACCCTGTTGAGTGCGAACAGGTCTGCTTCTTCCTTGCGTATCTGTGCTTTCATCTCTTTGAGCTTGATCTTGTACTCACTCTCACCCTCGCGCTTTCCCTTGTCGTAGGCTTCCGAGTAGGTCTCTTCCAATTCTGATTTGAAATGAGCACGGTATCCTGCTTTGAAGTGACGCCTGGCGAGTGCGATGCTGTTCTTTTTGCCACGCACTATCTGTCGAATATACTCATCGGTAGCCGCGAGGAGTTCGTCCTTAGAGGAGGCCTTGGCTTTGACAGCGGTACCATTGAGTTCCATGATATCTTCCTATGCACACATGGCTAGATGCAGCTGGTGAACCGCCTTGCTCTCGGCAGTGGTGGTGTAAGGCTCCTGGATAAGTGTGCGAGACATGCCGGGGTTCTTGTCTCTGAAAGATACCCAAGCCGAGTAGAATCGGTAGAGAATGTTGTCGAACTTGACAAAATCAAAGATGGGAGCCGCTTGGAAGGTGCTGTCGTCAGACAGAAGCTTCTTCACTTCCTTCCAGAATGCCGCATCACGAGTGGTGCAGTCAGAGCTCTCGAGACACTGAGCAGCAGCATGGGTGATGGCAGCAAGACGAGAAGCAGTCATGGTCAAGCTAGGATCGGCTGTAGGAAGTGCGAAATCGAGGTGAAGGAGCTTGAGGGCATCCCACTCGGCTTCAGCAACGGGGCCGCAAGCAAAGCCTCGGAAGTCGAATCCGGTCTGGCGGAGGCAAACATCAATGACTTTCAGCTGGTGAGTTGAGAAGCGCTCGGCAGGCGGCGAAGCTATGGCAGGCACGTTCGGGCCTGAATTGGCTTTCCTTCCCTTATACGTGGGAGGCATCTAGATCTCGTTAGCAATGTGCGCCCCTCGCTACCTTCCCATAACGGTGGAATAAATACACAGAACATCTGGGTTCACGTTTCATGGACAGTAAATGATGCGTAGATAGACCCGGGCCAGTAAGACTCTGGGGAACGGACCGGGGGATAAGAAAGGCGCGCTTGAAGCACTACTCACCGTAAAGGACGAGCATGGAGATTCCCATATATGAACGTATATATGAGGATTTCGGTGCTATTCCAGTCTCTGATATCGATATTGCCAAAGCCAGGTGGGAGGGGCAAGCAAAACTTGTGTGGAGGTTGAACTGGGGAGAGAAGTAATGAGAGGGTAAAAGTGAGGCGAGTGAGGTAATCGACGAATCAGTCCGTGAGGCGGTCGTTCTTTCCGTCGGGCTACGAACTCAATATCCGGCTCCTTGGCTGCCTAATTATACTTGGGGAAGGTCTCAACAAGAGAAAGCGCGACTTCAAAAGATTGCAGTAAGCTATGAATCTAAATAATTTGAATCCTAGAGGTGCGCGTGCTGGGCCCGAACACCCGTGGATGACCTTGTACAAGGCATTCTAAATACTCGAGTGCCTACCCAGGACTTAGAATGTGAGTCTGCAGCAGGAAGACCGGTGTCGTCTAAAGTCATGACTTCCACTTTGGTCTATCTAGACATCGGGGTATAGGCAATTCTTCGACTTCACGCGATCAGGGACAGCCAAGTGAAAGAGGCAACCTGGCGAACAGACCTGAGGCTACAAGATGGCGGCAGCCCTCGGACCTCTCATCAGGATGTGAAATCTTACGTCTCCATAAGGCTATTCATGTTGTACTCCACTTCCCGCCATTCTAATAGCTGGCTACCTTGACGGGCCGTGGTCACAGGCGGCAAGGAGGACTTCAAGTGGAGGAAGACTTTGATGCCGAGACACTCGCTACTGATACCTTTCTCCAGTCGCTTCTTTGTGACCCAGACTAATAGCTCTACCTTGCGCGTTTCTATTTGCTGTCTACAATTTACCACATAGACATTGCATCAGTCTCTCAACTATGACTTCCTTAGAGAAGACATCGCGCAAATCCACAATGTGTGAAGACGACCCTTTTAGGAAACTTTTCGAAGCCGAACTCCGTCACGCACGACGCGTCGATCGCATGGAGATGTCGGATATTAACCTCGATCTGTAGCCTCAAGACAATATCCAATTCTTCAAGACTCACACAACCTTAGAACAACTCCACGGCCGCGGAGTTTTAATCGACGCCCACCTAGAGTTCCTTGCTTGCAAAGCAAAAGAAGGAGTCCAAGATTGGAACGAATGGATTAAGAAGCGAAACGGACAGGCATTTGTCACCAAAGCACTGGACAAAGGCCAATTGGTGGTTTAATGAGAAGAAATTACGTCAGGGGCAATGTAACACCAACTGGAATGGAAGTCAGCGACGGGATGCTGGGTAGCATGTTCGAGCATCATATACGTGGTAGCTACTGTCCTCGTGACGTCTACGGCAATGAAAATACCAGGTGCTGGGATCTCATCCTCCACGACTGGGTCGAGCTTTCAGATTGCAGAGCGGCCCTCTTGATCCCGAGGGAGTATTACTTGGTTAGAAAAGGCTGCCTTCGGCCAGCGCTGTGTCAAGGACGCTCCACAATCGCAAGCTCATCTTCCTTATCTCTCATCGCCCAAAAGCTGGATACATGTGGTGGACCTTCTTTTCCTCTGCAACAGTCGCTTCCTGGCGATTAGACCTTTGCCAGGACGCCGTTGACCGATATTGGCCGAATCGCGGAATCCTTACGGCGGTGCGGTACCGCGGCTCTACGGGATCGTATTGCGAGGATGGTATTCTCACGTTGTTTGCCGGCAGCGTTTGGGCGGAAAGGACTTCAATCTATGACAGCCTAGCTGGATTGTCTGATGCGGAGTTGGTGCCCAACCACGTGGCGCAGGCCATTCTTGCTGCTCGGACTGTAAGCACTGAGTTGGAGGTGTTATGGAAAGCTGTCGATAAAAGTTCGGACGAGGGCTAAAACTCCAGAAGCAAGACGAAGAAATTGGGCACAGATGTAGACTAAGACACTGCGGCAAAACTTGGGATTGAAGGGAGATTTGGCCCCGGAGCGCTTGCGCTTCGAGTCCATCTTGACGACGGGCCCTAGTTCAAACAAACGTACTGTTGGGAGAAAGAAAGAATTTGAAAGCCACAGCATTGAATATAATGAACGTCCCCTCAAAAGGACCTTGGAAGTATGATTCTTTAACACCCCCTCTCTCTGACATGGATCTGAACCTAAGACCACTTTATCTTCCAACCGGTCTCACCACAACGGATGACTCCATGGCTAGTCGAGCAGATTAATCAAACTCCCCTCAGACGAACTGTCCTTGGACTGCTGTATCTAGTCAGTGGGGTCGCAGGCTTGACAGTCTGAGGCAGGAAGCATACCTTTAGCTCCACAATCTCTTGCTTCAAACGAGCAATCGTGTCTTCCTGAGTTGCGAGATTCAATTGAAGCCGGGTATTCTCCCTCTCCAAAGTGCGGTAAGATCGGAGCTGAGACGCCTGAAGAGCCTTTCCCAACTCGTAGTAGGCAATGTCGAGGGTGTCGACGATATGGAGGAAGGCAGCGGCGGCGGGGATATTGGTGCTTGCACCCTTGCAGCGACGTCCCTCATCTTCGGTCTCCGCCCGAATCTTTGCCTTGGCCCCAGCCTCCTTCACGCCGGCAGCCTTTGATCTGGCATTCGCCGCAGACATGGCATCTTTGACAGCGGCAATGACGTGTTCGATGTCCTTCGCCGTGATGACAGCCTTTCTTTTGATATTGTGGAGGTTGGTGATGACGGCGGCAAGCGCCTGAATGATCAAGCTGGTCTCCCCGGAGACCATTTGCTGTACTTGAACGTATGACTCAAGCTCCGCAATATAGTGCTGGATGAGGTATCCAGTACGCTGGGCATCTGGTAGGCCGTGTCGCTCCGCTGCTCGACCTGAACGCTCCATGGTCGGAGCGACCGGAAGGTCTGCGGCAGAGATGCTTTGAGATTGCATCGTTGCGGCCTGCAACAGATAGTAGTTAGCTTTGAACAACTCAGCTAGGTTCACGAGGGCGACAAACAGATGGAGTTTGATTGTGTTGAATTTGGGATGGACGAACGCGATGAAGAAGGGATTGCAAACCAGTTGGGACTTCTGGCAACAGCGGCGAGCGCGGTTTCGTTGGCTTGGGAGCGATGGAAATGAGATCGAGGACGAAAATGAAGTTGGAGAAGAAGAGAAAGATGGTGGTTGTGAGTTTGGAAGCCAAAGTAGAATTTGACACGAAATTTCAACTCCTATGCGGCATTCGAGCAAAGTGTTCCTGCCGTCGCTGGAATCTTCTGCGGATGAAAAAGACAGAAAGAGATGGAATCCAAGGTTTGACAGAAGGAAGTGTCCGGTCAGCCCTTTTCTTTGTTGCCTTGTTGGTTATGGTAATGAAGAGTGGATCTACGTCTTCGATGGCGAGAAAACCTCGCGCGGAAGGTGCGAGGGCAGCCACACATGTTGGGGGGCCAATCCAGGCTTTTAGCCTCACCCTCCCATTCAGCATTCAGCGAGGTCACCTGACATGGAGGGGGGGCCCCTGCTCAACCTGAATAATTACCTGGAATGTAAGGTACGACGATCTAATAACATGGCGTTCCTACCTGCCCAGGCGGGAGCCATTGGACCTTGCAGAACCTCAGAAGGGGAGATATCCCTCCGCCTCGTCTCGGAACACCATGAGTGACTGGGATGCATATGCTCTACAGAATTAGCAGTGACGACATGAAGGTGGATTCTGGTGCCTTCGGTCAGTCACATGACATTGCAAAAGTTGGAGGCCAAGCATTGAGCTGAAAACAGGGAAGTCCGACAGGATGTGATGATACTTGGCACTTGACATTACAAAATTAAAAGCCCAAGAAAGCAGTCAAAAATAGGAGCCCAGGTGACACTGAGAAACCTGGGTGTGCCGTCTGATGAAAGAGTTCTACCCGTCCCCCCGTCCACCTTATCTCAGATCCACGAGACACGAACTTGCCTTTGAACTCTATCACAGTCGGCTGAGCAATCCCTAGGACAGTCGGTGCAATATGGCTTTCAGCTTCCGACGTATCTCATTCACGCCACTTGATTCATGGTTGCATTACGTAATCTTCATGCTCTACAAGCCAGAATTGGTCCCCTCCTTGATGGGCGTCGGCAAGAAAACTGCTATCCTTGGGTTGCTCCTAGAGCTCTGAACATCCCTTGCTGGTATGCTGATGTGAGGCATCTCATGCCAAGAGCTCTACGTCAGTACTGCTGCCAACTTGATGACTAATCGCAGTTTTCCGGCTGGGGATACATCATCCATGAATACCAGGAGAGTCGTGAGATGACTACGGTGTTCCGTATCCACAGACAATCAGACTGCCTTAGTCACTTTCTGTGAGACAAGTGAGCTTGTGATGGACTTGAGTGATTTGATTTAACCTATGGCGGCATCCTGATCATCGGTCCAACATGATCAAACTCATAGAGCCTTTCCCAACTGAAGCGCATTGCGCGCCCATTACGTTGTGTGGTAGGCCGGGAGTTTTGCGACGGCGTTGCGTGGGAAGGAGGGGCAGCCCTCACAACTGGGTCCGGGGCAGGGAGCACACCAAAGGTGGGGCGAGTACCCTTTTGGGACGTGTCGCGTTAAATGATTGGGACGGGCTCTGGCGTGGCGCTGCATCCACAAACTTTAGTCGAACTGTCATCTTTCTCGCTCCACCACTTTGATTCAACGACGAAGGGATGTGTCCCAACATGGCTTTGCCAGAGCCTAATGTAATCCACTTTGGATCCTTCTATTATCGTCATCTTTGGCTATATCTTGTGGATTGTGAGACACGCCGCCGCCTCCTGATACCCTTTGATGCTCAGCATAATGAGGTAGGGGGGGGGGGGGGGGCATTACTTTGCTTTAGTCTGGACAATGAATCCACGATAGATGCTGCAAGAAGTGCCCAGACCAAGCTCTTGTTAACAATCAGCCATTGGCAGCACAGCTGAAAGGTGTGTCGAGCCACAGCTAAATCAAAGAGGAGTCCTGCTTCCGCGGCTTGGAGCTTTTGTGTGCCACCTACTCAATGGAAATGCCGTAAGTAGCCGGGAGAAAAGGGAGTCGCTGTCACGCGTCAAATGAGAGTATATAGCTTCGTAAAGGTTTTGCTTCTAGAAAAATCATCTCACATCCAAGGAGAAGATGGTTATCAATCGGGTTCTTGTAGCAGCTAGAGTGTCTCTTTTACGATGATCGCGGTCGCGATCGTTGGAAAACAGGATCACGGCATTGTCATTACTAGCAAAACAAAGAAGAAAGGATTTGCTCCTATGGATCCTCGAACCCGACCTCTTGAGAGATCGTTTTGGTACTGGGGGGCTTCCGGCACCCGTGATGATGCAGAGGGGCCCAACAGCTGCACCATCCAGCTAATAACCTGCCCCCTTTCCCTTGGGTTGTGTGAATTTACCGATCAATTAGGTATAGGTACCCCGCTTAATTCGTCAGGCCCGGAAAGTTCCCCAAAAAAAATGCTTCGATGAAGACTCGAACCCATGCTCTTAAGAGACAATTTGGTACAAGGGGGCTACCGGCGCCGACAATTCATGCAGAGGGGCCCTACATCTGCACCATCCGACTCTAACCTGCCCCCCTTCCCCTGGGTTGCGAATTTCTCAGTCAACTTGACATAAGTACCCCCACTCCGACTTCAGGTCGCTGCAGCCTAGGATACTAGTCGACCACGCGACAGTCAAACCACGATGAGATTCGGCGACACGTCCTCCCTGGTCGTTTGTTGATGGAAAGCTAGGGGCCTAATCAAATCTGGTTTCAAACACAATGACCTATGCAGCATCTTTGACGATGGATTTGAAGGTTGTTTAGCAACAATTAGCCCATTCATATCGTACATAAGTCATGGAGATGTCAAAAGGCCTTTTTGGGAGTACACAATCAGGTGGAACGTTCAGCCTACGACAGACGTGTTTTACGGGATAATTACCCACTCATCCAAAGCTGTATTTCATATCTCATCAATAGGCCCACAGACAAGAAAGCTTCAGCATTTGCGTAGATCTCCTAGGTAATGAACCAAAACCCTCACAACCGGATTGCATGATCTTATCAAGTGATGTCCAACCGTGTCAATCCTCCATATCTCGTGCCATACGCATATGAAACCCGTTCATACTAATTGCCATTACTTGGTGTTCATGCGGAGGAATTCGGCCAACTCGTTGTGTTCGTAGGTGCGAAGGCCAAGTCTCTCCTTCTCCCTGTTTACGATGGGCCGGACGATGGCCCAGAGCTGCATCGTCACAAGAGAACTGTTAAGGGAAGTATCGTCTTCTTCACTCTCCTGCTCCTCGGCAGTGGTGTCAGGGGACTCTTTCTTGTCGACAGTGACGGCGCTGGCAATGGCGTCGTCGACAGGCGAGAGGGCCCGGCCTGGAGGGGACGGAGCGAACAGAAGGTCGGAGTCATCGGGGATGGCGTAGAACAAGCCGACCAATTCGGCCTTGGATGCGATCTAAGCATCTAGGGCCTCGAGCATGGGACTGAATACGGGGTTCTTAGCAGCCTCGTCGTCGGCGGCGTTGGGAGCGCGGGCGAGGAGATAATCTCTGCGAGCGTCGCAGAAGCGGTCAAGGAGGGCCTCGACCTGCGGGCCGTGGGGAGTGAAGACGTCCCATCTGCGGTTCACTCGAAGCTGGCCAAAGACAAAGGTCCAGAACTCCTGCTGGCGGTGATTGTTGAGGATGCGACGGAGGCTGGTGTTTCCCTTCTTGAGCTCAAAGAGATGATTTTTCGCCTCCAGGATGAGGCCATAGAGTCTCTTGGAGATTCTGTGAATGTAGAACTTGATGGCGTTCGGGTTCTTGGGGAGCTTGCGGTCGTTCTTCATCGTCTTTCCCAGCAACATGGCGCATGACATCTCATCGCCTAGAAGGAAGTCGCCGTTATCGAGGAACAGGAGCCCAGGAATCTTGGCAAGAACCTTGTGATTGAGGTTGCGTGCCCCGGGCGTGGTGAGAAGGGTGACTGGAGGCATTTTTCAGACACAAGGGGCTCGGACGACACTGTACGGCAAGAAAATATCAGACAAGCATTAATCGCAATATTTGGATGAGGCCGTAGCTTACCGTAGAATATCTGAAGATGGCTATAACCTGGATTTGGGTGCGCTAAGGCTATGATGACTCGCAATGCGAAAAGTCGGATAGCGGGCAACAGTGCAATGCAATAAGTAGAGGAATTGGTGACACGACTGGTGTTGTGAGTGAGACGTAAAACCAGGGCAGTACGGCGTTGTTGGCGGAAAACGTAAACAACGGGAAATACACAGTTCGCGTAGAAGGCCTCTGACTGTATGGTCACGTGGTTTAGATGAAGTTATATTCACCTCAGGCACTTTTCGTATTCCTGCATCAGCGGCAGACAGATGGAGTGGTGCACCTTTCACATTCAGCTGAAAAGGTAGCGTCATCATTCTCATATGATATAGCTAACATGTTGAAGAAAGTCGTCAAGTAGCCGGACTATTGTAAGTCTTCCACTTTTCTATTACGCAAACAATGACCAACAAAAATTCAAATGATGGCAAGAGGTCAATAAAAAGCCCCAATCAACCCCGCTAGCTTGATGCTTAGACTCGGGTGAAAGTGGGCTCACTCTAGATTTCTTATAAGTAAAACCTGAGACTATGTATCTCCAGGCTCGCAGCGGTTTGTCGAAACTCACCAGTCTAATTGAACGCAGTATAACAAATAGACCGTGGTTCTATCATTTTCTGATGCCAAATGAGACCAAGCAGATATACTGATGCTCAGTAAGAGGTCCAAAGACACGAATGCCGCTCTTCTTCATGGGAAAGTCCAGCATTGCTGAAACAAAAGACGTAGACCTACATTCGTGTTTGTAACGAGAATTAGAAGATAGAACACAACCACACGTCATGAATAGACAAAGGCTAGCAAAGTTCCTAACAATGAAAATCCTTGTTGACGACTGAAGATAGTTCGCCACGAGAAACACTACACGACATCGCCGACTTCTCAAACCGCACATCCATCAAGGCAAAAGATCACCCAAGTCGTAAACAATCCCGGATTGGGTACAAAAGTAACAAAAGGCCCAATACGTCTGTTTTGAGGCATGCTCGAAGATGGAGTCACAGTTGTTGTCGAGATACTGCGTCATGTAAATTCCTCAATACAGCGTAGACGGTATCTTCGACATGCCGTAGTTGCCAAGCCTTGGCGACTCTGTCAAAAAATAACGAGAACGAAGTCAATTGAGGTGGGTCGACCCAACTATGTGCGCAGACAAAGATCAAGTTCAGATCGTCATCGCTGGCTACCGGCGACCTGCCGCGTGAGTTCTGTTCCGGGATACATCTTCGGCGACGTCGATTCTTAGACGGCGAAGAGCTAGTCGCCAAGCTGCCAAGGCGGCAAAGACTCAGCTTCCAACGGACATTACTTCATTTATATCTCATCATCTGCAGACTGTGGGATACCGAAGCCATAATATCGCAGCCTTGAAGCTTACGGAGTTCCGTGGCTGATGGGATAAGAGTTCGTGGAAAGGCTGCGCCAGTCTGCCAGTCAACCCTAAACTCCGAGTCTCCCGCAGATCTGTCGTACGTCTCACACGAACTGCCTCCACAAGAACTTCCGGTGTGGGTACAGGCACCTCATAATCAACGTCTATCAGGCCGTCTCACCAGATCCCTCACATTCGCCAAGACCCAGCCACGCAAAGGCCACATGCAAAGTCACACAATCCCGGAAACATCACAACCCAGTAAACATTTCCCCGAAAGGATGGGGCCTCACTGCGGTTCAAATCCTTTCTAGTCTCCCTCGCTACACGAAATGAAACAACGTGAACAAGATTCGTTCTCTGAACCGCCACACCCGAAGGAACGAACCGAAATGGCGCAAATCATCCAGCTGGCCTACACTTCTATAAGGGATATGCCTGGCGTCTGTCCCAGTTCAACAAAGAAGAACCCCGTACACGACAGCGGTAAAAGGAAGCTGGACAAGGGGTTGAAAGGGGGGAAATGCAGGCTTTGCAGGAACCCCACAACGGGAAGAAGGCGGATGCGTTGCAAGCTTATTTAGCGCCGAGAAACGCCCAAAGCTTGTTCCACCCGTGAAAGCCATAGAGAGGATGAAGTATGAGGGAGGCATGGAGGGAAGGGCCAAGGGAGTATGTGGTACCGGCTTGGCCTTTGCTTGGCGGGTTTACTCTTGCAAAGTTTCTTGACAATATGGACGAAAAGGGGGAAAGGAGAGTGAGAGGCGGGAAAAAATGCAAGGAAGGCAGCAGTCAGGCGGGAACAAGTCGAGACCAGTTCCTTGAACACGCTGCCACTGCGCGATTCACGGCGCCAATGCCAAATTGTTGATCATGGGTTGCCGAGTGGATGGTTCCTGAGATGCGCTTCCAGGGGGCACCTCGTTTATCCCGCAAGAGGTGTGGGGGTGCCGAGGGTCATCCCTTCTTCTGCTCTGGAGAGAATGTTGAAACATGAAACAAGGGGGAATTCTCCTCGAGATGCACCAAACGAGTCAAGCCATGGAGAACTCTTGGGCGCAGAACTTGTTCCTCTTTACTCGACCTGAACGTGCAGGTGAGGCGGGGTAATAACCCGAAAGTCCGTCACAGAGCCTATCTCTAATTTGATAGCAATTCGGTATGCTGACCAACAGAACTCCTCGGATCGGGTCTGGTGACGATTGATTAGGCTCTGAAAAGGCGCGGCTAACACGGCGTTCGATATGGAGAACCTTTTGCAATTTAATGACTCTCGAAACTTGGCGCATCCGCTTGGACATCTTCTGCCCATCGAAGGGGGAATCTTCCACCTGGGTAGGTTGCCACGGGCATACCTACGGGATTAGTGGGTTATGAAGAGCAATGTGCCAAAGTGTGCAAAGACATTCCATTTCCCTTCCGCATGATCCAGTCCGAGCTCCGCCGCGCGTGCGTCTTTCCGCGGCATCTTCCACGACTCCAGGCGAGACACCGCACGCACTCTTGTCCGTCAAGCAAGTCCATCGAGATGGGATGCGCCTACTGACTGATGAGTAAACCACATCAGTCTTCCAATTCTGCAACACCGTTGACGACTTGGCGTATGGCGGGTAAATGGATGACGCCGGAAAATCTTTGGATGGAATGGGGTGGACGGGGTGGATGGTCAAAGGGGACGAATGTAGAAGTGGACGTGACAGATGGACGGAGAAATGTTCGATTCGGGGAACACATGCAAGCCGGATAGAAGGGATTGTCCCAGCTCCAATATGCAGCCCAGCGAGGAAAACGCGGAGAGACCCGCGCACAACCACCATCGTCGAAATAAGCTTTCGTAAGGCCCCGCTAGTCAAATTTGTGGTCTCTCGCGGTTGGGTTCACCCTGCAAGATCTCCAAGGGGGAAGCCGCCCAGCAAGCTTCTACTCAAATATCCGTAACGCAGCTTGGCGAATCAGACCGAAAGTCTGCTCTGCCTTCTGACCCCTTATCCGCGGCTATAGTGCTTCCCAATACGATGATTCCGTTACCTTGCAGTGCCTGCTTCCGAAGCTGAAGGGAGTTGTATGGGCGCGTGTTTGAGAACGTAACTCTGCTCATCTTGGCCCCTTCAAGCCCGTCGACATTTGGCGCGTCGATTTCGAAAGTTGGGCTTCAGCTTTCACCATCGAAAGTGTCTTTTTATTCGTTTTGAGGTGTCTGATCTTCTTGGAATGCTGACTGTCGGCACGGCAAGCGATTGGCTGAGTTTGTTTTGTTGTTCCTGAAGAGCTGCCCAGTCGGGCAAAATTGCCACTTGCCAGGCGATTCTTAGCTACCCCAGACGGTTCGTCGATTACAACATGGTGACACAGCTTGGCAGAAACATGGAATGTTGTCAATGATAATGGTATTTCATAATTCATCGTATACATGACGCAGTAGTGTGCTTGCGCCTGGCTGTCTGTCTACTTTACTTTCCGGTGCCTATTCGTGTGCTGGAGTTGTTCGTGTTGTTATCGTGTTTGACTCGCAGAGCCCGTCCCCTTCTCCCCAACCAATTGTCCGTTCAATATGAGATGAGCCGAACAGGCATTAGACGTGTTCGTTTTTGTGGTCAAGACCACATCCGATCCTTGTCCTTGACCGGGTCTTCAAACATCCAGATGTTCGTGCTTTCAGGTCTTGCCTTGCCTTTACTGGATTGCGCGTACTTGTCGATAGGACTTGGGTGAGACTTATCGGGGCTCCGAATTTCCTTCAGCTCCAACCCAACGACTCTTTCAAGGTCCTTTGCTTTGAAGTCTCCCGTCATCGGTGTCCCGTCTTGTTGCCATGGTGGTGTTTCGTACCATAAGTCGGGATGCACCGTGGAATTCCGCCGACGCTTGTTGAATAATTTGGGGAACCACTGCTTTAGCTTTGCGACTACTCTGTTGAAAAGCTCTTCTGCCAACGGCCTGAATCCTGGGATGGAGAGTGCGATGAGCGTCGCACCGATTTCGGATACTTCAATGGCGAGAAGCGGGCTGTAGATCCATGACTGGTCTGGTTGCCATTGACCGTTGATAACTAAAATGAGACGGGCGATTGAAATGGCGACAACACTATGAGTGGTCAGTAAGTGTACGGCCGAAGGGCCAGCTAGCCACTACTCACAAAATTCCGGGCAGCAGAATGCAAGCAAGCTGAATCTTCCTCTTTCTTGTCATTTCCAACATCCATAACATCGCTACGGGTATTCCGAAAAGAACAAAGTCGCAAAGCAATGAAACTGCCGAGTTAATTCCGTAGACAAAACCCCATGGAAGGCATTTGTACTGGTTGAATTGTGACTGCCATTCGTACGGCCATATCGCTGTCACGGGAAGACAGTGGAAGATGATGAGAAGCATCTGTGTGATGTAGCCGGCGATCAGAAATAGTCCGGCTCCCTTAATTGCGAGGAGGAATCGGCTGTGGACGCCGCACACTCGGTAATAAAACGCTAGACCCGAAAACCGGCAAACGAAGAGCGCGCTTGTGTAGAT